TGTTTTGGAAGTCCATTCCAAAACCAAAGCGTTCCAAAACCAAGGCGTGCTTTCCCAGAGAAAGTAATGCAAAACAGATTAATCCATTCCAGGCTTTTAAAAACAACCCCTAAAACAGCAATTTAACATGAATTTTACTATCTAACGAGACCATTGATCCATAAAATGAAAGCAATAAATAATGCACTGCAGTCTCACATTCAATCACTCAGTAGCTGAACTGGGTTCCACACAGCCAAAAAAACAAAAAGAGCAGCAAAAACAAAAACGCAAAATAAGTAGCAAAAACAGACAGACCTCAGTGTAACACTCAAATCAGAAGCGTAACACTCAAAACAGAGCACGTTCTGCTTCCAAAAAAAAGTTTGCAAACCGGTACACGTACTTCTGGGTTTGCAGTGTTTGGGTTCCAAGTTGTTTGCGTACCAAGGCATTTGAGAACCAAGGTACCACTGAATGTGAGGAGAAGGTAGTGTGCAAGATTGCAGGACACTCCCAAAAGCCTAAGTGAGCTTTACGCTGGTATAAATCCACAAGTGGCTGCACCTTCTCAAGCTCCATGCCATTTGCCTCCTGCAACTGTGAATGGGTGGATAAGCATTAGATTACAATCCCCAAACCCTTGGGTGCTATATGAAGCTCCAATTCTCTCACTTAAGAATGTGGCACACACACACACCCTGCCCACCCTCTAGCACCCATGAAAAACCATTCAGTATAATGAATGTTTACTTGCTTCAGGCAAAAAAGGAAAAGGGGAAAGAAGACTAACAGTGTAGAAGCAATATATTATCACAGTGGCACCGCTAGCAACCATAGATTCTAGCTGGCATTCTTATCTAACTCTCATTTCCAATTCAGCTAAAATACGAAGATGTTGACTAATGACCTGAAACACAGTGGGTGACTGCATAAATCAAGTCTTTTTTTCATTCCTACTTGAAAAGTTTCTGGATACCTTAAGGTCAGGACTTCCAAAAAGCCATGTTTTAAGCAAAAAGTAGTACTTGCATCATGCCAAAATGAAATCTTTCTCAAGGACAAAAATATCAAAGGGTAGCATAAACAGAAGTCATATCAAGCCCTTTTTAACATATGCGTGGTTGGTTATCGAGACCGACAATTCTTTTGTGCCTGCAGAGATGATGGTGGAGAAACGGTAAGGTTTGTATGCTCAGCTTCTTCATTCCCCCACACACACCCACCTGAACCAAAATGGTATGCAGTTTGTTCTTGCTTTACAAAATAGTGAGCCGAGTGGTAACTTTTAAGATCCTGGGGATGTATCTGTTATGTAGAACAACAATCTTTCATAGTTAGAGCCAAGGTTTAGGGGCATAGGGTCATAAAAAACATATTTCAAAACTATTACGAACCGCTTTTAAAAACCAGATGATCAAAAAGCAAGCAAAGCCTAAAAATGAATAAATAATATACCCATGCACGTCTGAGCCATTGTACAATTCCTTAAGGTTCTGCAGACCCCCACAAAGCTGATCTGAGGTTACAGAAAAAGTAGAAGAAGAGTTTGGATTTGATATCCCACTTTATCACTACCCAAAGGATTCTCAAAGCAGCTAACATTCTCCTTTCCCTTCCTCCTCCACAACAAACACTCTGTGAGATGAGTGGGGCCGAGAGACTTCAAAGAAGTGTGACTAGCCCAAGGTCACCCAGCAGCTGCATGTGGAGGAGCGGAGACGTGAACCCCAGATTATGAGTCTATCGCTCTTAACTACTACACCACACTGGCTCTCGGAACACAAAGGGATAGGAGGAGGAAAGCAACATTGCACTAATAGAGCTCATTGTGCTGGTTCTCACTAGCTCACCTACTTAGTTGAATCTAGCCCTAAAACAAAATCCCTAAATATTACAGGATTCTTTTGCACGAAAGTCAGAAAGACTTTTGAAATGGCAACAATGTTCTTATAACAGGCAAAAGCAAGGACTTTGCCTTAGCTTCTTAAAATGCAACACTATGTTGTATGCCAAAAGTTATGATACCATGTTGACTGAAGTATTTCTCCATTTTTCGCACACATTTGGGAATGGGATTTTGGTTACGTGACACTTCCATGCTGGATATTCATGCCTGCACAATTGTACTTGAAGTATTTAACCAAAAAATGACAGTGGAGTTAAGGGCTAGCCCTGCTATCCAGTGAAAGATCCTTCCATTTCCCATCAGTATGGTTGGATAATAGTAAAACTTCCAAAAGCAAGCAAACTATAAGTAGATAATCATGCATCTTATGAAGGTATATTCCAAGACCCCAGAAAGGACTGTACAGGTACCACCTACATTTGAATTGAGGAGCAAGATACTGCTTTTTCTTAAATAAGTAGACGTTATTACATTCTTCCATGTTTGCATTGGAATAACAGCTATTTAAAGCTTACATTGAAGAGAACAGCAGAGTTGTGGAATCACTGGGACTCTGTGCTGTCCATGGTGCTGATGAACATACATTGGACTACTGTAACAGTTTGAAACTATTAAGCAGGTATTAGTGTCCTTCCGAAAACTCAAGTACTCGTTTTGAAAGTCAGGCACTTTCTTTACCTAAATAACAACAACAACAATTTATTATTTATACCCCACCAATCTGGCTGGGTTTCCCTAGCCATTCTGGGAAGCTCTCAACAGAATATTAAAAACACAATAAAACATCAAACATTAAACTTTAAAAAAATTCCCTAAACAGGGTTGCTTTCAGATGTCTTCTACAAGTCAGATAGTTGTTTATTTCCTTGACATCTGATGGGAGGGTGCCACTACTGAGAATGCCCTCTGCCTGGTTTCTTGTAGCCTTACTTCTTGCAGTGAGGGAACTGCCAGAAGGCCCTCGGAGCTGGACCTCAGTGGGCTGAACGATGGGGGTGGAGACGCTCCTTCAGGTATACTGGGCCGAGGCCATTTACTCATCAATACCAGCTGGCCCTCCTCTTTGCCTTTCCAACCACTGGTCTTCAACTGGTGGGTGCAGAACCACTAAGGCACCACAGCCTGATCCAAGGTGGGTTGCAGCAGGAGCGCTACCACCAGGCAAATACATGGTAAATGATTAGGAAATGGGTCCCCAAGTGCATGTTTGGGTTGGAAGTGGGTCCTGGGTCTGGAAAGGTTACATGCTATTAACCGTATGGATAAGTGCCTTGCCAATTCACTGCAGTGCAGATATGGATTAGTCTGAACTGCTTTTCTTGAATTGCCAGTTTTGGGAAATGATATACAATGAATTGAGGAAAATGTTCCATCTAACATTTGTTTAAAAACCTGAAGCATTTCTGTTATGGATTGTAGGAAAAGACATGCGAAAGAAGCTGAAAAATATCTTCTTGTATGCGACAACAGCGACAAGAGTCTTAATAGCACAAGGATGGAAGACTGAGGAAATCCCGACTAAAGAATTATGGCAAGAGAAACTGATGGACTAAGCAGAACTGGCAAAATTGACACATAAACTATGGGACAAGGATAAATGTGACTTTAAAGAGGAATGGGAACCTTTTACAAAATATCTAAAGATGAAACAAAGTGAATTGGACTCCTTGGCAGGCTTTGAATAAACACTCACAAACTTTTTATTGATAATAATCAGATAAATTAAGGACTTTTACAATTCTGTAACATGCAGAGAATAGCATTTATAGAGAAACCAGAGATTGGAACTGAGGGAAGTCAGAGGGTGGGGAGGGGGTGGGTTGTTTTATGGGAGGGAGGGAGAGGGGGGAAATGGAAGGGATTAAGGATGATATGTTTTAAGATAATATGTTTTGTTGAATTACCTAATAAAAAAAATTAAAAAAAAAGAATTGCCAGTTTGCAAACGCTGAAAATATAGCATTCTTAAACATGGCACCAGTCTTTTCAGCTCAGTGGTTAAAAGTTTTTGAGTTAAGACAGGGAAGACCTATGGCCAGGCCATAAAGCTCCTGGGCCAGTCATCTCTCAGCTTCACAGGGTCAATATGTTACCACAAGCCACTTGCACCCTTTGAATCCCAGCCTGAGTGTACAATTGAAAGCCCTGTGCCATTTTGTAAGGGAGTCTGGTAAACATGCTTTAATTTCTCGGGAGAGCTGGTCATTCTTGGAAGAGCACAAAGGCTGCTAAGGTCATGCTTCTCAGGAAGCCACCCTGTGCGTGCAGCCATCCCTTTCATGCTGGTAAACATCGTTTTAGCTGGGCAGGAAGCCATCCTATTTGCATAAATATATTTGGCCTTGATAGACACAATTGCCTTCATATGTTTGAATACAAGCTGTAGAAAACAAGTCATGTGTCTTATGCTTGAGATGGAATCTCAGTGGGCCTCAGAAAGTCTGAAGTAATCAGATCTAGGAAGTGGCATCTTTTCAAGTGTTCATGGTCCCAGTGGCTATCAAAGCCAACTGAGGCAATAAAATGAGGCCAGTGATCACAGCAGTTTGTGTTTCCAGCAAGAACCAAATGCTGATAACAGCCCTGTTTAATTTATCATTGTAAAGTTTCTAATATTTTGCCACATGATGATTCCCTTCATGTGAAAGAAAACTTATCTCTGATTTGTGGGAGAACCTCCTTCAGCAACTTGAAGGTTTTAAACAAGTTTCATTCAGAATATTCTGAAATTTAGTGTCTGCCACCCAAGATCCATAAACTGTTAAGGATAATGATTTAATTTCCTGAAATGGGAATGCTTACTTATGTTAAATTACTGTGTACTTTTAACGTGGAATTTCCCCCCTCTGGCTGTATCTCTCATGTGATTAGGAGACTGTGAGTCACATGAGAGAAGAATTCCATTCTGTTGTGACTGTTATTCCAGTAACTGTTGTTTTCTAACTGCTCTCTGTTCTCCCTCTCTGTGTGTGGCAGAATGGCTGCTGAGAGAGATTTCTCAGGATACTGCTGAGGACAGTGTTGTGTCTGTGTGATCTGTCTGAAGTGAAACAGACAGAGAAAGAGCCCTAAACATTAATAGGGAGAAACCCGTGCAGGAGCTCTCTGTAAGGAACAAAGAGGATACCGCTGAGGTGAAAGTAGCAACCTTTCATAAGAAACTGTAAGGTCTGAGTGAGGTAAAACTCTGTTGCAAGGCTCAACTAAGGTTGGATCAATAGTTTGTACAGAGGTCGTGGGGGGGGGGAGCCCTGCCCACCCTCAGATCAGGATCAAAATTCAGCGGAATCCAGTAAAGGGGGTCCAGAGGGAGAGTTCTGTCTAGTAGTCCAGACAGGGCCATCAGGCCATAGAACACCCTACTGGCGCTCAGGTGGGGCCACTTCATTTTATCTGTGTCATGGGGAGATCCCTGAACCCAGGATCGACCCTGAAAGAGGAAACAATCAGCAGGAGGGGTGGTTGATTCACCCAGTGCCTATGCCAAAGCCTAACACATCTGTAATCAAGAAAGTTGTGGCCTACTTTAACCCCAGATTACGGTCTTGTAGTAATTTCTGCCTTTATAAAATCACCACCTGAATCACTAACCCACTGTGCTTGGACCTGCAAATATGAATCCAAAGGAAAGCTGAGATGGAGAAGAAGAAAAAATAATCAACATTCTGGGCTTGCAGCAGTTTGTAACTGAAAAATATGGCTTGCTGCTCTTGTTTTTTATTCCGTATATAGCATCATTTCCCACCCCCAGCCCTTAACTCTGAGCTCTTAAATATACTGAATATTAAAAGAGCTACATCACAACAAGGCTAAAAACAAATACCGCTAGGAGAGCACCAACATGAAAATACCTCTTTACTGGCATTTCAAGCCTCTCCTACATAATCATGCCCTGCATATACAGCAAAATTGTGCTCGTGTCTCCATTCAGGAAGCAATAACAAAAAAAAGTTTAATTTCATTCATATTTTAAAAGCACTAATGGAAGAGTACAGAAAGTACTGGAAAATAAACTTCATCGCCTCCTACCGGCTAGCTAACAACATATAATCCATAACACCTATTTGCAAAGCTTGTTTAATTGAAGGGTTTTCCTCCACAGAATTGCATGGCATGTACATTGGTAACAAAGAAAAACGCTCTTTTTGAACAACAGGAGCTTTCTGAAAACTGTTATGAAAGGGGGAAATATATGAGACCCCTTAAAAGGCACAAGACACTAGACAGACAGTGTGTGTGTGTGTGTGTGTGTGTCTCTCTCTCTCTCTCTCTCTCTCTCTCTCTCTCTCTCTGACAAACAGTGCTGAGCAGCTTGGAACTTGCATTTTCCGATGGCTTTTCTTGCCTACCGGAAGGGTTTTTTTGTTGATGCTAAGAGGAGAGAGATATTTTCCCAAATACCATGCAGTGCGTGTAGGTGTTAAAGGCAAGGGGAAGAGGCTTCAGACTGAAAAAACTAAATCTAAGGAATGTTGCAATTTGCCCTTTGGTAAGGGACATATTTTCAAATAGAAAGAAGTGGCTGGGGGTGGGGGAGAGAAATAATGGCAGTGAGGGATTAGAAGCACATTGATTTCTTTTGCAAGCATTGAGAGAATGTCACAAATAAGTCTCTGAGGCAGAGGCGGTCTGAAACATTTTAGTGCCTGAGGCAGGAAACCCAAAATGGCACCCTCCCACATGGTGGCAAATCTGCAATAATGCACTAAATAATTTACAATTTGCCACTCTTTTTCACAGGGGATGGAGTTTTTTTTGAAAAGCAACAACAACAAACTTTATATGGTTGGCTTTTTTTTACAAAAACGCAGTATAGCGTCATAAACACGTAAGCAATATACAGGTGAGAGCATTGGTTGAATTTCTGCCGTCCTGTAAAATATCTCTTGTTCTTTACTTATGAGCAGAAAACTCCTGTTTTGTTTGTAGTGTCACCTTACACAGTCATTCCACAGAAGACCATGTGTGGCTAGTGGTTACAAGCTATGCTCCTTTTGTGCTACATTAGTACAGTGGTACCTTGGTTCTCAAACTTAATCCGTTCCGGAAGTCCATTCCAAAACCAAGGCGCACTTTCCCATAGAAAGTAATGCAAAATGGATTAATCCATTCCAGACTTTTAAAAACAACCCCTAGAACAGCAATTTAACATGGATTTTACTATCTAATGAGAACATTGATCCATAAAATGAAAGCAGTAAACAATGCACTGCAGTCACACAATCAATCAATCAATTAGTAGCTGAACTGGATTTCACACAGAAACACACACAAAAAGAGCCACAAAAACAGAAAATAAATAGCAAAAACAGACAGACCTCAGTGTCACACTCAAAACAGAAGTGTCACACTCAAAGCAGAGCATGTTCGGCTTCCAAAAAAAGTTTGCAAACCAGAACACTTACTTCCGGGTTTGCAGTGTTTGAGTTCCAAGGCATTTGAGAACTAGGGTATCACTGTAATAAAGAGATGCCATATCATTTGAAGCTTTTTCCCCCTTTTGTCTTTTAAAAAAAATGTTCCTGTCTTTCCCCCTTTGTGCCAGTTTTTCCATCAGTGCATTTGTCCACAATCCTTTCCAGGCGTTGTTGCAAGGATTCCATGTGATGGCTAACTTATGGGGTACATGGAGGAAGAGCGGGATGCACAACAGCCATTCCTTAAGCAGCCTACTTTTTGAGATGCCCTGAACATTTGCATTCAATGCCATGTTTCCAATGGTCCACAAACATCAGCTTGGCCAGCCAGGTAGTATGCATTTGTCCTTGCTACCAACTTCAGCATTTTGGGAGAAACAGGGATTCCCTTCATTTGCACTGCAGTATGGTGATGACAAGAAACAGTACAAGACTTTCTCCAACTGCTGCTTCCCTTCTCTAAAGTGTTACACACAGGAGAGGAAACATTGAGCTCTCTGGCAAATGAAGAAAGCTCCACATTTTTTTTGAGGGGTAAAGATCTGGCTATCTTCAGGCCTGTTGCAAAATTCTGCAATGGGGACAAGACAGGCTGTGGTGACAGTGATGACAGGCGAATGAGTACTGATTTTAATCTCTGGAATACAGATTTTAGCTGAAGGAGGCTTATTTTCAATGTAAGTTTATAGGGAATTTTTAATTGCATCCACTTCTTCATGAACATGTGGCAAATGTTGTTGTTGTTGTTGTTAACTTTGCTGTCTGGTCTTTGACTGCAGTAAAGATTGATTGATTGATTGATTGAATGAATAGTTGGTTGGTTGGTTGGTTGATTTCTGAGGGGGATTTTTGACTTGCACAAACGTTTGGACAGGTTGGGGAGAGGGGGGACTCCTACAACTTCCTATCGCCTTAGACAAACGTCTCTGCAAATGCAACAAGAGCCCAACACACCCTGAAACTTTCTGCAAAGTGCAAGGGCTTTAGAAGAGAAACTCTCTCCCTTGCAATGCAAAGAGAAGCCCTGGGATCAGTGATGAGCTGTGGTGAGTAGAACTGGAGTCGTCTAATATTATTATTACTATTTATTCAATTTATATACCACCCTTTATCAAAAGGTCCCAGGGTGGTGTACAACATCAAAAACACATCACAGAACTTCAGTCATAAAAACATAATTAAAAAACATACCGACAGACAGCCTAATAGTAAAGTAATCATCATAATAACAGTCCCCATACTTTCACAGGCCATAGATTATTTAATAGCCATAGGCCTCTGTAAAGAGGAATGTTTTTGCCTGTCGCCTCAGATGAGCCTTTCTGAGGACAGCATTCCACAACTGAGGAGCCACCACTGAAAAGGCCAGTTCTCTTGTTGCCACCCTCCAAACCTTTCTGGGATGGGGGACATAGAAAAGGGCCTCTGATGCCAAACACAGGATCCAGGTTGTTTACAAGCTAGCATCAAACTGAAGTTTTATCTCTCTGAGTGCTCTCTCTGGGCTTATTCACATTTATCCACAGATTGACATGTGCTCTGATTTGGAGCTAAAAAGCAGGTTTTTCCCTAAGAAAGCAGCAGAGGAAGGGGAAACCCACTCAGACCCCTACCTAGATAGTGCACAGGTCAATTGGAAAACCACTCAGACTTGTGCTTCCTAGGCTTGGGACAAGTTGATGTATGGACAAGCCCTCTCTCTCATCTTCGTGAATGCCCCTACTGACTCAAATGCACCGAGTGAACCTTTTTTAGTCAAACCCCAATCCTTTATTTTACCATCTCCGACACCTTAAAAGAAGCCTCCTCATAAACTGGATTAGTTCATGGAATAATCAAAACCAAGGAATAGCCCTTTCCTTAAAAACAACAACAGCGCTACAATTCCTGCACTTGACACAGCCTATAAATATGAATTGTGATTGCTAGACACAAGCAACCCTTAACTCTGTTTCTACCCTGCAGTCATCTTGTTTAAAATTAAATTTATCACCATCTGGGACACCAGAACCATGGTTTTGTTTTGTTTTTTGTTTTTGCAAGACAGTGTGCAGATTTCATTTCTAAAAGTGCTATCACTAAGGAAAAAATATGGTATTTACCCCGAGACAACAGGCTGCTATGAATATTTAAGATGACACATAAAATATGAAGTTGTTTGCTATTCAAATGTAATCTATTAAGTGAAAGTGTGTATTGAATAAGAAAAAATCAGGAGGAAGGCTGCTGACATATAAGTGGGTCAAGCAAGTCTGACATCTGCGAGATTGAAGAAATGCTCAATGTGGAGAAGATGTCAATTCTCTCTCAGGAAGACACTGGTTCCGATTTGGTCAAAGTTAGGAAGAAACATGGGAATCCGCCTTCTTTGGGATCAGCATTTTTGCCTGTCTACCTTAAAATTACCAACTGGGTTTCAAATGAGAGCATTTTCATTGCTATGCTTGGCATTCCTGGGGACTGAACCTGGCAACCTCTGCGTGCAAAGCTTGGATTTCACCACCAAGATATCGCTCTTCCTCAATGTCAGAAACCAATGGATTCAGGTAGGTAGCCGTGTTGGTCTGACGCAGTCAAAATAAATAGAAAAATGTTATCCAGTATAGCACCTTAGAGACCAACTAAGTTTGTTCTGGGTATAAGCTTTTGTGTGCATGCACACTTCTTCAGATACACTGAAACAGAAGTCACCAGACCCTTATATATAGTGGGAGGATGGAGTGGGGGTTTTCTCAGAAGGATAGTAGGAGATGGGTGATTGACTCAGAATTTCAGAAATAGACTTGAAAGAGAAGTTGCTGAATTACAGCTTATTACTAAACTGAAAATTATGGAGAGACCTGGTCTGAATAGAGATATTGGATTCTTGTCTCATTACACATGCTAAAGCTATTTTTGGTCATCTGCATACTATCCCTTGCTTCTTCTTGTAGGACTATTTGCAGGCATTAACAGTCATCAACAGGTTTACCATACCCATTGAATCAATCACCCATCTCCTACTACCCTTCTGAGAAAAACCCCACCCCACCCTCCCACTATATACAGTGGTACCTCAGGTTACAGATGTTTCAGGTAACAGACTCCACTAACCCAGAAATAAGAACTTTGCTTCAGGATGAGAACACAAATCGCACGGTGGCAGCGCGGCAGCAGCGGGAGGCCCCATTAGCTAAAGTGGTATCTCAGGTTAAGAACAGTTTCAAGTTAAGAATGGACCTCCAGAACTAATTAAGTTATTAACCCGAGGTACTACTGTATAAGGGTCTGGTGACTTCTGTTTCAGTGTATCTAAAGAAGTGTGCATGCACACGAAAGCTTATAAAGTGGAACCTCTGATTAAGAACTTAATTCGTTCTGGAGGTCCGTTCTTAACCTGAAACTGTTCTTAACCTGAGGCACCACTTTAGCTAATGGGGCCTCCCACTGCCGCTGCGCCGCCGCTGCACGATTTCTGTTCACATCCTGAAGCAAAGTTCTTAACCTGAGGTACTATTTCTGGGTTAGTGGAGTCTGTAACCTGAAGCGTCTGTAACCCGAGGTACCACTGTACTCAGAACTAACATAGTTGGTCTCTAAGGTACTACTGGACAAAAGAAACCAATTGAGTTAGAGCCAAGGACCCTGTCTCTGCATGCAGCTGCTTCATGAGTCATCAAAATGGCCTCTTCTAGAAGGTTCCCCACTGTGGGTGGGTGCTTTGAGTTCAGAGGAACCTTTCCTTCCTTAGCCAATTTATTTCACATTAGTCAGCAGGGACTGACAATTTCCCCTTGCTCCAGCAATGCCTCTTGAAAGACAACATCCTGACATATGTCATTCCTAATGAGACTCCTAATGAGACATGGGCGGAGGGAGAGAAGAAGAGACACATGGCAGCTACTATTGATGGTGGTGAAACTTAAGTTTTTAAAATAGACACCCCACAAAGCCCAACCTTGTCCAAGGAAGTCCTTCATCCCCAATGGCTTCTGCCAATTTTCCTCTTCCCCCTGAGATATGGTCAAAAATCCCCCCTCCCTCTGGGATCCTTTTTGTGGGCTGTGCATGAAAGGAAGAGGATTTTTGCCTCAACACATTTATACCCTCAAACAAAAGAAGCTTCAGATGGTACAAGATTTGTTTCCTAAAAAATTAATTCAAGAATTAAAATACTGTCTCTATAGAAGAAGTTGGTGATCATATTCATATAGTCTTCAAATACGTTTGCAATAACTATTATGCAACAGCAATCAGTTGTCAGAAAGCTGACTGTAACACATGTCTTAGCATTAACTCATGGTCTGTGGAGAGATAAAAATGTAAAATCGAATCCCTCCACTCATTTATTACCGGCACATATTTTTCTCCCCTTCAAATCACAGTCAAGGCATTACTCTATAAGCTTGAAAATTCAGGAGTGCTAAATGCCCGGGTTCATACCCCCAAAGCATTATTTCTCTGTTTCTTCCTGTGCCCCAAATTTACATGTGATTCTTGAGTATTTGCCAGACCTAAGCTTGGAATAGCTGCCTCCTGGCTTTTTGCAAGTCTGCCCTCTGAGCAATATGCTCTGCTGTCCCTCTGTGACACTGCCAGCTGCCACACTTGTCCATTGTGAGTAATTTAATGTTGGTTTATTAAAAAGAAAAAATGACTAGAAGGGACAAAAAGGAGCAATGACTGCACTCTAACTGATCTTGAGTGACACTTGAAGATTCATTAGCCAGGAGCCTGTGAACCAACAGACAATTCAACAAGAATGCAGTATATGCTGACCCAGTCTGCTAAGGTCAGCTGTAGTTGGTTTTTCCCCCTCCCAGAGCAAGGCAACAGGTATAGTATCTGCTTTAAAAAAAAATAAAATAAATATGAAGCTACAGAACTACTCTGCATAGCTAAAACTATACCCACACCACTCTGGGACAACCTTATCAGAAGTTATTAAAATAACATTAACTGGAAGGTTCCCTCACTACATTTAGGAAACACAAGCATAAACATAGTTCTTAATTTTTATGAGCAGGGAAATGGGTGAGAAGCGCCAGCCAAACACATACATTTTTTGTCATGACCATATACAGTGGTACCTTGGGTTACAGAGGCTTCAGGTTACAGAAGCTTCAGGTTACAGACTCCACTAACCCAGAAATAGTGCCTCGGGTTAAGAACTTTGCTTCAGGATGAGAACAGAAATTGCACAGTGGCAGCGGGAGGCCCCATTAG